GCAGACGTCAAATTGATACCCAGTCCACCAGCACGGGTAGTCAGGAGGAACAGGAACTTCTCCGACCCCTCCTTATTGTAGTCGTCGATAGCCTGGATACGGTCCTCGTGGGCGGTCGAACCGTCAATGCGGCAGTACTTGTAATCGCGCATGACTGAGTAGTCTTCCATGATGTCTAGCACACGACTCATCTGCGAGAAGATGAGCACTCGACTGCCCTGAGCCTTCATACGTTTCAGCAGCTTGTCCAGCATGACCATCTTCGCAGCGTTGGTGACGAGATGTTCATCGGTAGTGTATGGCGGACCAGGCTCGGCGCCTTCGAATAGGTACGGGTGGTTGCAGCACTTTCGCAGCTGCATGACGATGTTGAGCAGACGGGTCTTGGACTCCTTGTTGCCGGCACCGCCATTAACCGCGTCGATGTCCTTTTCGAGAATCTTCTTGTACCACTGCACCTGCATGTCGGACATGCCCACGTACAGGTTGATCTCCTTTTTCGGTAGAAGCGACTTCTCGACATCGGCCTTGACACGTCGGAGCAAGAAGGGTCGGAGGACCTTGTGGAGTTGTTGGACGACGGCGTCCGAGTCGGCGTTCTGGGAGGTGAACCAGTCGTCGAAAGCGGCGGAGTCTCCGAAGACGTCGGGGAGGAGGAAGTTGAGCAGGGCCCAGAGCTCGTGGAGGTTGTTTTGAAGAGGGGTACCTGTGATTAGCAAGCGGCTTCGAGAGTTGAAGACGCGGACCATCTGGGCGAGCGACGATTCCTCGTTCTTGATGCGGTGGGCTTCGTCGATGATGATGTACTCCCATGCGAACTTCTTCAGGTGCGATTTCTCGCGCAGAATCATCTCGTAGGAGGTGATGCAGACATCGAAGCCATCGGGTACCAGGCGCTCCTTGATGAGGTCGGCGCGGTCGTCCTTGTTACCCTGGAGGACCAGGACGTTGACGTCAGGGCACCACTTGGCGAACTCGCGCTTCCAGTTGTCGAGTGTCGACTTGGGCACTGCGACCAGGTGAGGACCGTGAATGCCGGCAATGTAGCGGAGGTAGCCGATAAAGGAGATGGTCTGCAGCGTCTTTCCGAGACCCATCTCGTCGGCGAGGATTCCGGAGATACCGTTCTCGTGTAGGGAGATGAGCCAGTTGAGACCCGCAACCTGGTAGTCGCGCATGGTGCCGCCCTTGATGAAGCCCGGTGATTCCCTAAAGACCGTCTCGTTGTGTCCGCCATGCTTCTCCTCGCGCACCAGCTCGGCGTCCTCTTCCTGCTCAGTCTTCCGGCGACGCTCCGCAGCGGCACCTCCTTTCCGCACCTTGCTGGCCTTTGATTTCTTGGTCTCTTCGGCATCCTGGCGGTCGATCTCGGCGAGAATCTCCTTGATGCGCGGGTTGGGGTTTGTGTCGATGAAGTGGCGGAACAGGTCCGTCAGACCGAGGAGGTATCGAAAGCGGCGGATGGTGTCGTCTTCCTGTGAGAGGAGCCAAGTTAACAATGTCTCGAATGTAGTGCGCAGTGACGTCGCGTACCTTTGACGCCCTCAGTCCCTCCGCCTTCTTGCCGTACATGCTCTTGCGCATGTTCATCTCTTCGGCGCGTTTTCTTCGGCCGTCGACTGGCGCGTCACCAGCGACGCTGTTTGCTGTGGTGTTGGGGTTGGTATCCGAGTCCTGTGCGCGTGTCAGTTGTTGGACCGGGTGAGTGTGGCGCGGTGTCGGAGTCATCGTACTGTGTAGTCTGGGGTATCCACATTGTACTGCGTCTGGAATGTTAGCCAATGTCTTCTCGTGGTCGCGCCTTCCTCCCGCTTGACATGTGAGTGTCGCGGTGAGGAAGGCGCAAACGGGGGTTGCGCTTACGCCAAACTTCTTGAAGCCGTTCATTGTGTCGTCTGGCTGGTCCTGCATCTCGACATCGGAATGCGCCGACACCTCATCCGAGGACGGCTCCTCCTTCTTCGCAGCGCTCTTCCGCGGCATGTTGCCTGTTTGGGCTGTTCGCCGCGTGTAGTTGTGTTGGCGTCACGGTCGCGATGGCGCAGTGAATGGTAGTACGTCTGTCGATGTTTCGGAGTGTTGGATATGAAGACGTGGACGCGTTGGGACGTGTTCGTGGCGGCTGAGGTTTGCGCGATGTATGTGAGGATGGCTTGAGAATAACTGTGGACGACCCTTGGCGCGTCAGGTCGGCGGCGCGCTATCCTCGTTGCGGTCGTGCGCACTACCCCATGCCTGCATCTCTAAGCCTACCAACTTCCATTCGCTCAGCAATTCGACATCCACGCGTCCCCGACTACGAACATCAACCCATTTGAAACTTGATGCCACAGAAGGGAAGAAATGAGACGGACGCGATTTGCGACGCGATATCGAACATGACGTCAGACAGGTGTTTCCATCACCGGTGCCACATACGATCAATTCAGGAGTGCTACGTTTTCTGCTGGCATAGCTTGCTTGAGCCATAGCATACTGCAGCTACAATACGACCTTTTGTTCCATTGTTTCGACGACTTCTTCTAGTCCCTGATCCTACATCTGGACTGCTCGCCAAACTTTCCTCTTAGGATCACGGTTATCTGCTGAACTGGTTCTTCATCGTTAAGCTTTCGAGCTGAGTAGGCTACCTCCAGCCATCAAATGGGTCATAGCCGATTTGAAGCATCTATCGAAATCTCTAGGTCTATAATATCCCATCGGCATGCCCTCGGCATCTCATCGGCATGGTTGAGAAACCGGATTGCAAGATTACCAAGGCATTGGGAGCCGTAGAGTGGGACAATAACGCATCGTAAGTCGGCAACATGAGAAGCGAAAGACTGCAGCAACTCTAGAGATTGTTAAGCAGTCGGCGTTACTTCTCCACCACTGACGTCACTGTAACCAAGACAATCGTTGCATAAGTAGAAGTTCCTGGCATTGTTGCCAACATTACAGTCTTCATCACGTGGCCAATCATCCCAAGGCCGCATCCATCTTCCCAACATGCCCGCTGCATCCATCACCATCATCTTCTCACCCTACCACGTCGGCCTCCGCAACCACCGCGTCGGCGACGGCCCAAACCGAATACGAGCTCTCGGACTCATTCCCCGTCTTGAAGCTCTAGGCGTCACAGTCCACATCGACGAAATCCCTCCCGTCGACGACTTCGAAGGCGAGATAGGCCGCAGTTTCGAAGTCCTCCGCCGCACCTCCCTAGCAGTCAGCAAAGCGCGAGATGGCAATTCCTTCCCCTTCATCCTCTCCGGCAACTGCATGGCTAGCGTAGGAGCCGCGTGCGGGTTGGGTATCAAGGATCTCAATTTTATCTACTTTGATGCGCACGACGATATGGATACGCCTTCGACGAATGAGAATGGGTATTTTGACGCCATGGGCTTGTCGTTGTTGGCGGGTAAGAGCTGGCATTGGCATACGAAGCAGATACCGGGGTACGCACCGATGAACTATAAGGATAGGTTCTTGTACGTTGGCCTGCGCGATGTGAACGAGACGCAGAAGAAGACGGTTGCGGAAGCTGGGGCGGATGTTATTTGGGGTGATGCTGAGAAGGGTGTGGATTTCCCGGGCGAGTTGGAGAAGCGTCTTGACAAGAGGGATATGTCGCCGTCGCTTGTGCATCTTGACTTGGACGTCTTGGACAAAAGTGTGGGCATGGTCAATGGATTTGAGAGTGAGGGTGGACTACAGGAGGAAGATGTCGTCAGGTGCATGAGTTTGTTGCCGAAGAAGGCCACGCCGGTATCGTTTACCATGTGCTCTTTCAATCCCAACCTGGGTGATGGAGATAAGATTGCAGGTATAGGCATTCGCGCTGCTGTGGCCTTCGTGAAGGCTTTGATTGCGACGTCGGTGCTATCTGCGCAACAATAGTGAATGCGATCAAGAAGGGAATAGCAGACTTGCAAAAATGAGACCAATCCCGATCATGGAAAAGGCTATCGTTGTTGTTGTTGTTGTTGTTATGATAGGTATGGTGTTAACAGCGTTATGGGGGTATCTCGGATCTAGAAAGATCCAAGTCTCGAACAGGTAAGTGCCCTCTACTAGGTGTCTCAAAGGTCGTAATCGAAGTTTAACACGTACTCCATGTGAGGTGTGCGCGAGGAGTTGTTGTTATAAACAGGGGCCTTCGCCCGTACTTCTCACAAAGGCTCCCAAGGTCATGGGCCGAACGACAGACTTTCTCGTAATGCCTAAGAGATGATTTATGCAGAAGCAAGACGATGCTGCCACTGCAGCCCCATGTCGGATAGAATGCAAAATGGTGACTTCCACTTATTAAAAGCAGTCGACTGCGCCCAGGGCCATGGGCCTGGGAAGTCGCGGCCGGCACAGCGTTTCCGCCAAGCCGCGCGACCCCAAATCGCCCCGCCCACCTCCAAATGCCTTCCTTCTCGTTATCTATAGCGATGATCGTACGCGTTTTGATTTCAGCGTGAATCAAGTGCGCCTCTGGTTCAGACTGCGGTCTGGTCCTGGTTCCTCAGCGCGACGCTGCAACCTCACGCCACGTCCTATTTTCACCCCACCCGACGCGCCGTGCGCGCAGTCCACCTGGGCACTCGCCGACACATCTCCAGGGCTCCTGCTGAATGGTCGACGCGCGACGCCCACCTGCCCAGGCAACAGCGAGGATGTCTGCCCATTGGCCCTTCACACGCAGCCCGCCATTTCTCTCGTATGCAGTGCAAACGCCATGCATAGCAGCGCCACGCATGACCTCGCAGCTGAATGCTTCGAGCGTCCACTTCTACCGGTGAGCGTTGGAGCATAGCCCCGCTCCCAGGTAATGCTCATTCACGTCAAGTCCTCCCGCAGCACCTTTCCGCAGCTCCGTCTACACAGCGACAAAGTTCACTCATTTTTTCTTAATACGTTGTTCCTGAGTGTCCCCGCGAAGGGCGCCATTCTATCTACACGAGCGACAGCGGACGTGACAGCTTCATTCCGTCCATGTCAGCCTGACAGCGAAGACAACACAGAACATCCAAATGCGCCTCATCAACTGCTCAACACTCAAGCTGAAAGAGTTCTTCGGCACGAACATCCCGCGCTATGCTATTCTCTCGCATACCTGGGGCGATGAAGAGGTGTCGTTCGCCGATTTCACCACGGGTCAGCATACTGTCCGATCTGGCTACCAGAAGATACTTTTCACCTGCCAGCAGGCCACCAAAGACGGAATTGGATACGCATGGGTAGACACTTGCTGTATCGACAAAAGCTCCAGCGCGGAGCTTTCCGAGGCAATCAACTCTATGTTCGCCTGGTATTAGAAGTCAGTCCGCTGTTATGCGTATCTTTCTAATGTCTTGGCAGCTAGTATAAAGAAGGATTTCCCTAAAAGTAGATGGTTCACACGGGGATGGACACTCCAAGAGATGCTAGCTCTAAAAACGGTCTGCTTTTACGATCAACAGTGGGTGGGCTTCGGCACTTTGACTAAACACGCCGGGTGGATATCGAAGATCACAGAGATAGATGAGGCGGTTTTCCGGACTCAACAGCCCTACTGGAGCGGAGAGGACAAATTTGGTTCCTATTCCGTCGCAACGAGGATGTCATGGGCTTCCACGAGACAGACGACACGTGCTGAGGACATGGCCTACTGCCTCCTCGGGATCTTCAACATCAACATGCCGCTTCTGTATGGTGAAGGCGACCGAGCATTTCGTCGTCTCCAGGAGGAGATCATCCGGAAGATCGATGATGATTCCATCCTCGCCTGGGCTCTATCGCCAGAAGACGAGCATCCTAATCCTCTAGGGCTTATGTCAGATTACGACAGGTCAAAACTCCGCTATACAACTAACGTCGACTTCTTGGCCCGCTCACCAAAAGACTTCACAGGCTGTGCCAACTTCACTCGCGCTACGGTACCATCGTCTCTATTCACATTGACCAATACGGGCTTACAGATCCAACTACCAATTGTGCGGGTGTTTGAATGCAGCGAGTATTACTGTCGCACGAATAGAAATTCCGGCTTTGCATGGATCGGGCTACTTGGTTGCTCGGGAGCGTCAAACGGAAACTTTCTAGGTATTCTGCTCTTGCCGGACGGAGACGTGGGTAATTCCAGCGTGAGAGTGGTTCGTCAAAAGAACTTTTACAGTACTATTGCTATTAGTCCAAGAGTCGCTTTCGGTTCAGTTAGTACACCGATGACGATTGCTGGACTTAGCGGGTTCCAAGAAGCGCGATACTTCAACTCCTTTGACGATAACAAGCGGATCATCGTCAACGAATGCAAGGCCATCCGCGACTTTGGTTATCAACTCCAGCGTTGCATATCATGGAAGCTTATTGGGCAAGAACGACAACTGGCTTACCATCCGTTTTGGGATCCAGAAGCCAAGATTCTTACCATAAGACGAGATGACCCGTTTCACAGTATGTTCGAATTCAACTTTGAAACATCGTCGAGCGGTCAAAATCCCAAGTTCAGTGTCTTCATAAACAGGTACGGTAGAGGTACAGTAAGGGAAGGAGATGTCTTTTCAGAAGATGAAAGGCGCGCTCTACAGGATCTTCTCGGGGATGGCGATCTGCCCTATGAAAAGGATCGGATCTATGACAAGGGCGACGTTATGTTACATGACGACGCAAAACGCTTGTTTCATATTAGCGTTGAGGTTCATACTAAGACTATAGGCCCTCACGAGATGGTTAGGGTCAACGTTGACGCTTTGAGAGATGGGTTTTCGGATGAGGATCATCGTTGGCTCTGTAATTGCGAGAAGCATGTATATCTGCATTGATCTATGCTGGTATTCATTCTAGTCAGCTGTATCGTCCTGTTGTTCAGGGGGTACACATGTATAAACGATTTCACGTAGTTGTAGAAGACAAGTTTCGTCATCACATTAGCCAAAAGTAAAAACTAAGACGGCCTACAACCCTAACTATACGTGGCCGTGATAGGATACGAGGCCTGTCATCTGACACCGAGACGCCATGACCATACCTTGAGATAGTCGAGAAGTTTGAAAATATTCGTATCACCGGGGGTTTTACCAATCTCCGGTCATGAGCTCAAGTCGCCAAGTAGCCGGGAATCTACATCCGCGAATTTGATGCGCGACTTCGGGATCTAAGACACGCGCGGGATGGAACCTCGATTGCCTGTGAACATAAGAAGCAAGATCTGGATTGCATTGCATTGCTGTGAGTGTACCTCTAGACAAATCCGCGCAGTTCCCTATCCTCCCAAGTGGGCCCACGTCATCGGCGCATTCTTCGGGCACTCGCTAACCACGTTGGCCCCGCTCAGAAAGCCGCATCTCCACTCTCACCTCCAAACCACGCGATAAGAGCCGTTGGCACCGCCAGCGCGCGGTAGCTTCGGAAAGCTATCAGCGCGCGCCCACCTTCCTGTTTACGATACCAACAATACTCTTGACGCCGTTTACGTACATGCGCAGGCCGCATAAGGCGTGCCGATGGAGCTGGCCAGTTAGACTGAAGGGCCGAGCGCTTATCGCATGGTTTTTGTTGTTGATTCGTTGATCCTGGTAGCATCGCAGACACCGATTTTTCTTGGAGTTGGGTTGAAGATGGGTTAGGGAATGGATCGGGATCATGACTCTGTGCAAGTGGAGATTATGTCTTGGGGATCAATCGATTCGGTAGAGCAGGAAGTGCCGCCGACGTATAAAGCTCGTAGGCCTGCAGCTGTATGGAGCTTCATCACGGACTTTCGCCAGACCCCGGTTTGGACTTTTCGTGGACAAGATGCGCTTCTCTCGGTCGATCGGCGTCGCGTCTTTCGTCGTTGCTGGTGTGCAGGCTGCTGTTTCTTCAACCGGGTTCACGGTATCCTTGACCGACATCGACTACTTCCTACCGCCAAAGCCAATTGCGAAGATATCGAGCTGCGAAGAGATCCAGGCCTCCTTCGAAGATGCGCCGTTTGTGCCGTTCACAGTGGTGAAGTCTCATGACGGCGGTGTGAATGTCGCGTCGCTCACAGCAAGCTATGCGCATGATGATGTATGGCAAGAAGGTTTCATGGACGGTATGCACCCAACTTCCCGCTCTTGGTACCCTTGCTGATCACATATCGCAGCCATTTATGTCCAGGGTAGCGATTCCAAGCCAATGAACTCTTCGTTGACTATACTGTCCGGCACCGCGTCTAAGGAATTAGCTCCAGGACCCTACTTCATCAACGCAGCTGGCCATGTCTACGAGGCATGGAGACTGTTCTCTGATATGCAAGGCGCTTTCACCGAGTCTGCGATCGCGAACGGCGACGGTTCTTACTCGGTCTTGCCTGCGGGTACTGTGGGCCAAAAGCATGCCATCGCCGTCCCTTCGCGTCTCTACTTCACCAAGACGGCTGAGAAGCCTTTGGCTGGTGTAAGGATTGGTATCAAAGACATCTACGGTACGATCACCCGGCTGCGCAGACTACGGGCTACGAGCATCGACTGACAATATCCTTAGATATCAAGGGCCTGCGAACATCCAACGGAAACCGAGCCTGGTACTGGCTATACCCTCCTGCCAACGCGACTGCGCCGCCCGTCCAGAACCTGATCGACGCGGGAGCGATCATCGTCGGCAAGATGATTACCTCTCAATTCGCCAATGGCGAAACCGCAACGGCCGACTGGGTCGACTACCACGAGGCATTCAACCCCCGTGGCGACGGCTACCAAGACACCTCCTCCAGTTCCTCTGGTGGCGGCGCTGGTACCGCTTCTTACTCTTGGCTCGATGTCAGTCTCGGATCCGACACCGGCGGCAGCGTGCGCGGCCCGTCCCAAGTCCAAGGTCTCTACGGCAATCGCCCATCTCACGGGCTGGTGTCTCTGGACCACACCATGCCACTGAGTCCCGTGCTCGACACCCCCGGCTTGTTAGCGCGCAACCCTCAAATCTGGATGGAAGCAGCCCAAGCCATGTATGGCCCCAACATCACCATCACAAGTAACTATCCAACTAGCATCCAAACCCTCGGCTGGCCCGCCGAAGTCGAAGACATCGCCGAACAAATCCTCATCGACTTCCTCGGAAACGTGACCGATTTCCTGAGCGCAAACGCTACCGCTTTCAACGTCACAGCCTCTTTTGACGCCGCGAACCCAGATGTCGCACCTCTTACTGTCTTCCAGAACCTCACCTACGCCATCCTAATCACCAAGCAGCAGATCGAGCTCGTCCGCGAACCTTTCTACGCCGACTACGCCGAAGTCCACGACGGCCGTCTTCCATTCGTTAACCCCGTCCCGCTAGCACGCTGGGGCTGGGGCGACAACCAAACCATCACCGTCGACGAGGCTGTTACCAACAAGACAATCTTTCAAACCTGGGCTAACGAGACCTTCCTCGCTCCCTCTCCCGAGACATGCTCAAAGTCCCTCGTCATGTACGTCGGCTCCACCGGCGGCACCACCTACCGCAATACATACTGGGACGAGCCCGGCGTGCCTTTTGGCTTCGGCAACAGCCGCATATCGGTTATGGCGGAGGTGCCAGACTATGTTGTGCCGCTGGGTGAGGCGCCGTATAACTCGACGATTACGGGGCATGTGGAGTATTTGCCTGTTACGGCGAATTTGATGGCGGCGAAGGGGTGTGATGGCATGTTGTTCTCGCTTATTAATGAGTTGTATGAGGCGGGGATTCTGAAGGAGAGTATGGTTGGGCAGAGTGGGGTTACGGGTGGGGAGATTTTGTTGAGGAGGGATGCGCTGTGATGAGTAGATTGAGAATCGAGTATAGTGATGAATCACGTCGTGTAACTCCTTCATCCTACATGTGTTTGCAGGTGCATTACATGGGGTTGTGCAGTGTTCGGATTCCCACGGCACCGACATCTCCGCCTAGAGCACATGATCTCCCGAACTCGTGGTTTAGATGATGCCGTAGTTGCTGTTACCAAGACCGAAGACATCGAACCAACCGAAAAGTGGACATTTGATAGTGTTCAGAGGTCAGCCTGTCACGCGCTTTCCGGAAAGAGCCCCCCGCGGAAGAAAGAATAGAGTGCGCCTTTGACTTAGACTGCGGTCTGGTCCTTAGTTGGGCTGGGTCTTTGAGATGGTACTTTGGTATACGGTATGATTGCGATAGCTTTGATGTTGTTCGCTGGAGTGCTGTCTGGTGCGTCACCGCAGTACCGTGGTTGTCGACGGGGCTGTGCCCCCCCGCGGAGCTACTACCCCACCTACCAACCTTGGAATACTACCGTGTCAGTTCCACCATCTTTGGAAACCCAGAAGCTCGCCACGACAACAGGATTTATCCCCGCGCATGCGCGCAGACTTCCCGCGGTGCGACGTCTCGGCGGGCGGACGCCATTGGAAGCACTCGAACCGACATGCACAATGATGGCATTGACTCGCATGGATACATAGGGTACGTTTGAGACAATATACCATCGCCCGCCTGGTCAATTTACTCTCTACTCGCTTGAGTAGCGATCAGTCACGCTTTGCGGAAGTGTCCCTCACAATTTATCACAATGCCGGCGTTTAACGTGGAGTGCGTAGAAGACGCGCCGAACGCGACGGGACCAATCATTGAGGACATCACAGAGTTCTGCGACTTCTGCGTTGTGCTTATGGAGTTCATTCTCGAAGACTCAAAGCCTGGTACGAAGGCACTGCGCACAATCCTAAGCTCCCCACCCGAGACCAGTTCGGAATCGTGCCGATTCTGCGAGATGATATCGAGCGTTCGAGGTTCCACACGGACTGAACTGGTAGAGTCCTATGAGAAGAAGGACTGGTATCCGGGATATAATACTGGCGAAGATTGGGAAGATCAACGAAGGCACCGGCAGTATGAATTCGCTTTCGGTGACGTTGATTTTGCTGTGTGGGCTGACAAAGGTAAGAAGACTGAGTCCTGTTAGTCGTAGTGGCACTGACAGTATAACCCAGGCAGCGCAGCATCTAGACCCTTCTTCGGCCGTCCTCCCATTCTTGACCCCTCTGTAAGCCAAGTGTGTGATTTAGTCCGCGCGTGGCGAAAGGGATGCAACACTCACGAAGAATGCCTCCCCGAGGCACAAATGCCGATGCCAACCCGGGTCCTGACGCTGTGTCGAGATGGTGCACAACCTTCAATTCGACTTCTCGAAAGCAACGGCCTGAAAGGACAATATATTGCGCTAAGTCATTGCTGGGGCTCGACCAAGAACCGACCAATGCAAACAACCTCCAAAAGCTTCGCAGCATATCACGAGGATATAGCATTCGTTGATCTACCAAAGACGTTCCAAGATGTTGTAAGCTTTGCTCAAGCTATCGGCATCGCATACATTTGGATCGACTCGCTATGCATCGTCCAAGACGACCACCAGGAATGGATGTCTGAGGCAAGGAAAATGGGCAGTGTATATAGAAACGCAGCGTTAGTGGTGGCTGCTTCGGGCGCGGAAGACTCCAGTAGAGGCCTCTTCACGACCGATCGTCCAAGAGCGAGGGTTTTCCGGCTACCCTTCATCGAGGATGATCAAATCAACGGGACATTCAACTTCATGCCGTTGTCGCATAGCGACAGAGACCCGGGAGTTGGTCCTCTGGAGAAGCGGGCATGGACACTCCAAGAGCGTTGGCTGGCGCGACAGTTCATATCCTTCATGCCACAGGGTATTACATGGGTATGCAAACGCAGGGAAGTAACCGATACAGGTCGATCCTACAAACTGGCCAGCCCGTTCTACCGATACGGAGGCCCGAGATATGACTGGGACAACTTATTGCGCGAATACACGATGAGAGCTCTAACCATTCCATCGGATCGTATTGAGGCTATCAAAGGAATTGCTGAAGAGATTCAACGTTCTCGAAATGATCAATACCTCCCACATTGCGGTATATGAACTGGTGGGCCTCTATCCCAGCTATTTTGGCTTAGAGATGGCCCATGCTCCAGTGTCGAAAAAGCGTCCAACGTGGGTTCGTGGAGCTGGGCGGCCACCGAAAGCGCTAAGAGATGGCCGGAAGTTCGTTACCCGACAGGATATCATCACTTGAAGAGGTCGGAAACGGCACCCGATGGAATGGCACCCAAGATACTGGCATTCACCGGCAGGGGCCACCTTGTAGTAACGGGGCATTTAAGCACCAGTCAACAGGCCCGGAGCTATGTGAGAGATAAGAAAGCCGCACGCGAACTCACGCTTGATAAACTCCAGAAACAGCATGACTGGTGGAGTGAGGAAATACAAGACTTCCATATTCTCACGCAAGAGAAGGACGGTTCTCATGGACAAACAGTGCTGGGGATGGCGCGGTTCGATCTCGATGGCGTTTCCTCATATACACATGCAGGTTTCTTCGCGAAGCAAAATCATTGGGGCAAAGATGATCCCGAAGACTATCCGGAAGTGGGTACCCCAGAATCGCGTTTGACAGAGCACATTATCGTAAGCAGTCATCCGATAGCCACCGCATGCTGAGACTGACATTCGCTAGAACGGGGTAGTTTACCACATAGATTGGGCCCCATTTTGTGTGTACTGGGCACTTCTACTTGAGCAAGTTGATGGAAACAGGTTTAGGCGTGTAGGTATGGCACTCCTCTTGCCGATCGCGTATGAAGCCTTCCAGGTTCAAGTACAAGAGTACGAAGTTATGTAGACTATACGGCATACAATAGCGTATCAAAGACAAATTGAGACATTTGAGAGCAATGTCGACTTCTAAGCCGTTTTCATACCTACCAAAGCAAGTATTGTTAGTTGCGATATCTCTCATTTGGAAGTACCTTGATTTGGGGGATGGTCGTGTATTAAGATATTGCGAATGGCTGGTCGCTCTGCGTCATCGCAGTAGCATCAAGCAAAGAATATTATGAGCGGGCACATGCGCGTGGGTTTGAGTATGCAATTTCAACATCAAAGCAGAGACTGCGATTGTAGTATCAACACGCTGAGGGTATCGCAGCTGGGATACAGCCCACCCCACCCCCTCACATCTTCATCCCCCCAACCCTCCCCTTCTCCGGCTCCCCCTCCTCATTCTCATACAGCGGATTAACCTGCACCTCCCTCAACCACAGCCTAAACGACTTATCCAACGTCTTCGCATTCATAACCGCACAATCCTTGATCTCCTGCGCACTCAAATACGATACCCCCTCTGCATCACCCCCCGCAATCGCAATCGCCCGCTGCAGCAATATGCAATTCTTCTGCGTATATATCGCCCGGTACACCGCTTCCTCGATGCTAGCACCGAAGGTTGTGAAGCCGTGCTTGTGTTGTAGCACAACGGGGCTCTCGGGAGTGAAGCGGGAGGCTAAGGCTGCGCCGAGGGATGCGTTCTTGATGAGGAGGTCGTGTTCGGAGGGCGCTGACGTTCCACGGAGACTATCCATTGTGAATACCTTAGCCCCGCCCAGGCCCATGAAGCCCGCCATGTGGAAGACCGGTCGTACGGGATGCGGCTCCATCGTGCCATGTCCTACAGTAAAAGGGATGACGTCCTCGGAATGCGAGTGCACAACACAATTCACCTTGGGAAACTTCCGCAGTATCTCCCCGTGGATATATCGCTCGCTGTATCCCTGCGGCGCGTCGGCGTCGACGGGCGAGGAGTCCTTGACCCAGTACGATATAAAGTCGCTCATGTTTTTGACAAGCGCCGGGGCGCCGGGGTCGTAGCCAGCGATGATGTATTGCTCCTTGTTGAGCGGGTGGCGCACGGATATATGGCCGAATGCGTCGACGAGGCCGTGGTGGTGCAGGATGTGGTTTGCGCGGATGAGCAGGCGCAGTTGCTGCTGGAGTTGGGGTGGGATGGACATCTTGGGTGCTCGCGACTTGCGCTCTTTGGGCTGTGGCTGTGGCTGGGTTGGCGTGGGCGGGCCTGTTTTGAGCGACTCCGCGTTGAGGGACTCGGCTTTTAGCGATTCGGTGCGCGCTTCTTCGATGATGGATAGTTCGCGTTGTTTGGAGGGTCGGAGGTATTCTTCAGGTTGGGCTGCGTGGAGGGGATGCGATGCTAAGGCGCGTGGATGCGTTGCTTCGGCGGCGGCGTCCCTTTGGGTCTGTTGAGCGGCGCAGTAGTTGCAGAGTACCATTTGGGTGTTCAGCACTTGGAGGAGTGCATTCTGCTGGGTATAGAGGCCGCTTGCCTCGTCTTATGGAGCGAGCGAGCGATGTTTCAAGGTGGCGATGGAAATAGTAGCGTTTGAAACCGCGGATGCCTTGGAGTCGCTAGCACTCTCTCTAGATCTTCACCTGCGTCGCGGACTCGGTGGTGTCGCCTGTGTGAGGTGAGACGATGTGAAAGGCGAATGACGCTTTTCGCCTGGCGTGCGCGATGTTGCTGGCGCATCGTGACATGGTGGTGGATGGGTGGCGGAGGTGTTGCGGGGATGCAGCCGGGTCATTGGGCGCGCGTGAGGGGATCCGATCTTCTAGCGCCATTAGCCTTCCCGCCCGCGACAGCCCTGTCCCTCACTCGCCCCACATCGCGCGGCCCCCATTAACCTTCAAGTCCGCATCTTGAAACGGAACACCGCAGACTCTCAGACTCGCGACGTCGACCCTGTCTCATCAACTCTGTTAGGAGATCTTTCTTGATTGCCACGCAGTCTCGTTCAAGATGGCCGCCCAATACGTGCTGGTTGGCCTAGCAGCCGCGGGACTGGCCTTCTGGTATGACTTTAAGAGCTGGCAAAGCTTTGGTCCGCAATCCTCCCAGCCTGTGTGAATGCGATTGCTGAGTCGCCGCAGGAACTGGTGGCACGCCTCCAACCTTGGAAGGCTACATCAAGATCCGTCGATGGGGACTCTATCTGCTCTACACGCGCCAGAACCTGCTCGATGCAACTCCCATCCCCGCTACGGGCGCGTCTTACATTAATCCCCAGAAGGTGCCGGACCGCGTTGGCAGTAGACCAGGACTTACACGCTGGACGCTACCACAACGCCAGTTCCCTGAGGAGATAACTCCTGGCGCTTCCACGATTCTTCACGATCTCATGCGCGAGTTTGCGGACACGAAGGCGTACTCGGAGTACATTGAGACGCGACCGAGCAAGACCGAAGGCGGAACTGGACCTGCCATCTACGTGAAGCCAGATGTCAAGAACATCAACCCTGTCGCGCACAAAATCTTCTACGAGGTCGCGCACGTGCATCCAGCAGAGAACTCGCTTCATGTGTATGTAAGCCCACAGGACGCGAGACTGGTGATGAAGAGGGGCTGGGGACAGCGCTTTCCAGTGACTTGGTTGGCACCGCCGAGCTGGATCATGGTGTATGCGCCGAGGAACGAAGAGGAAGTGGAGACTGTGAGGGAGATCGTCAGGGCTGCAGTATGCCATGCTGTCGGGATGAATGTCGATGCTGGAGTTTGACCGAGCGGAGGCGCGACACGCGGAGGTGCTACACGTGGTCAGTATAGTCGAGCGCAATTATCCAACCCTTTTCATGACTATACTGCTCGGAAACTTTTGCGCGTATGCACAGATTGTGTTGCGTTCGATGTCTGGGCACGGCACTGGAGAGGAGAACCGACGCCGGACGCTAGTAACGACGGCGCCCGCCGCATCCGCCGCATCTGCATCGCATCCCCCACTCTCTTGCGCTAGCTTACACATGTCGCCCGGCTTGTACGACCCTGCAGAATGGCCTCAATCCGGCATGCAATGTTAAGACCGCTGATGCCGCGACACACTGTCTCTCGAACCTGACATCGTGTCTTGCCTCCACTGTCGCAACCTCACACTTCTCGTACCCCACACCGCATCCATCCAACATGGGTAGCATCGACACCACCCTGAAAGTCATCGTCATCGGCGCCGGTGCGTAACCAATCCCTCAGCCCAACAGACCCCTACTAACACACCAAGGCCCCGCCGGCTGCGCGCTCGCCCACGGCCTCAAGAAAGCAGGCATCTCCTTCGCCATCTACGACAAAGGCGCCGACGTCTACCGCCATCGTCACTGGGCCTTCACATTAGGCTGGGCACGACCATACCTCTTCGACCTCATCCCAGAAGAGCTCAGCGCGCAGATCAACTCATGTCAAGTCGACCCCTACGTCGATTGCGCCGCGCTCGGTGAAGATAGGATTGTTATATATAATGGCCAGACAAGAGAGGAGGCTTTCGCTTTTCCGATACCGAAGGCGCGCGAGATTAATATTAGAAGACTGCGCATGTTGTTAGCCGAGCAATTGGATGTGCAATACAGCACGAGCTTCTCGCACTACGAAACGACCCCCAACGGCGGCGTAACCGTCCACTTCGAAGACGGCACAACCGACACCGGCACCATCCTCATCGGCCTCGACGGCGCCATGTCAAAAGTGCGCCGCTGCCTCCTCCCCCACTCCGGCACCATGGACACCCTCCCCTTCGCCCTAATGAACTTCAACGCTTCCTACACCGCCTCCCAAGCCCTCTTCATCAAAGAACACCTCCACCCCCTCGTCGACATAGCAATCCACCCTGCAGGTCACTACATCCGCGCAAACGTGCTCGACATGCCCGACGAGAAAGACGCGAGTACCTGGACGTTTCAGATCCTGTCTACCTGGCCGCTCAAGTACGTCGAAGACCATGATAACGAAGACGGGCGGTTGGAAAGGCTAAAAGCGCATGTGAAGCGGGATGGATGGGCTGAGCCATACAAGAGCGCAATCGAATGGATACCAGAGGACACGCCTGTGTTACGCGATCAGCTCAAGATATGGAAGACAGTGCCGTGGGATAACCAGAACGGACGGGTTACGCTCTGCGGCGACGCAGCCCACGCCATGACGTTTCACCGCGGGCAGGGCGCTAACAATGCTTTTTATTCTGCGCATTGCCTTGTTGAAGCGTTGAAAAGCGTACAGAGTGGGAGTAAGAGTTTGAAAGATGCGGTCACAAGTTATGATGAGAGTATTTGGAAAAGAGGCGCGAATGAGGTTCAGATTAGCAAGGCGCAGACGTTCTTTACGCATGATGGGTTGGAGGAGTTTGTTAATAGTCCCGTTATGCGGTTGGGGACGAAACCTAGTCATGCTGCGAGGACGGAGGGGTATCAGTAGATTTATGGTGGACTAGACTAAATCACACAAGACCTGCTGCCTTGGCTGCCTCTGCCCACGAGGGGTCTCTATGCCGTCTCGCGTCATCTTCTGCTATCTCTCGGCTTGACCGCTTGCGTTTCAAGTTTGTGGCATTCGGCAACAGCGCGTTGCCAGGATCTGAACACTGTTAGCTTAGAGCCCTTCAGTCAATCGATCGCGAATCGATAGTTATGCTGCATCCCTACCTTGTTGCGCTAACGAGATGTCTTGAACACTTTGTAGAGCTCTGAGCCCACTCTCGAGGACCTTGAGTTTGTCAGTCCACCGCTTTCTCTCCCCGGCAGCTTCTTCGCTCTCGGAAGCCAACGCAGTCACTGCCGTATCGTCTAGGTCGATGACGTCAGCTGGCGAGAACAAAGTCGGAAGCTCTTGGATGAAACATGCTTCAACGGCGAGCACCGCGAAGTCGTCGATGAGTCTCTTGAGGGCGACTTTGTAATAAGCCTCCATGAAATCGGTGGCAGTAGAGCTGGCGTAACTATTCATGTTCGCTTCCGTCTTGGCGAGCAGAGTGTTGACCAACGTGTCCACGTTAATGTGAAGTTTGACGGTGCCCTTGCCGCTGTGGTCGTCGCCGATAACTTCTTTCAGTGATTTCCTAAGCTCTCGGGATTGTCGTTGGCTCTGCGCCTTCTGCACGTTGTCCGTGAGGTAGTGGTTGTACGTGATTGGGTGGCTAGTGTCGTGAGGTGTAAGAAGTTCCGCAACTTTGACGCGAAGCGCATCGGTCAGTTTCGCCAATCTAACAGTGATGTATTGCCTTGAGATGCCAGTTCGGGTTGTTTCGTCGCACACGTGGTCCAGTGCCGTGCGAGCTAAGACATCGGCAGCACGGATGATGACCTCCAGGCAGTCATCGACAAGCTCCGGCCACAGCTTTCGCTGTTCGTGGAACAACTGCCCGACAATAAGCGGATCGAACGTGCCAGGCAGCTCCCGACCTCTGCTTCGTTCCAGAAGTTTGTTCACCTTGATGATGTAGTCTGCGCGATACATCTGGCGCTCGGATAGAGGTTCAGTCGGCACTTCGTCTATGATGGTGATAGCATGGCCTTCCTTGCGCATGTTGGCGGCGAAATCTATCAGGGTAGTCTGGAGAACAGCTCGCAAGCGCCGCTGGTAACCCTCATCGGTAGAAGCGTCACCAAAGAAAGGGTCTGAGTATTGCCCGTCGACCGCAGCTCTGAGGAGTGAAGTGAATGACTCGCTGGCTCGTAGAAGGTACCGGCGCTGCTCATGTGGTGTGTCACGGGATGAGCCAATAGCGTTGAGTCGCGTCGTACATTCCCCAATACCGCTCTTGATCTGCGCAAGCACGTCAGGGAGTTGTGCGACGATATGGTCCTTGAGAATCTGGCTGAGCCTCGGCTTCAGGCTGTCAACTCCAGTTTGATCTGCTGAAAGCTCCCGCCAGACTCCTGCTGCGAAAAAGAGAGCTTCGGCTGTGTCGCGCTCTTTCGTAGGCGCATCCCTCGAAGCGTAATCCCGGTTACGAAGCACATGCCATCCCAGTCGAAATTTCACATCCTTGTTTTGAGCCAAGTCAAGATAGAATTGCTCCATGTCAGATCCTTTGTCGAGTGTGTCCGGCTTGGTGATCAGTCCAAGGGTACGTTCTCCGGCTGGATCGATATCGCGCGAATACTTGGTAATTGACTGGTTGTTGAAGTCATTTTTGGCAGATACGACGGCTAGTATGATGCTGCGTGGATTCATCATGTACGAGAGCACGAGCGACTTTACCGTTTCGGCATCTGTGTCTGATTGAGCCCGGCTTCCAGCTTGGAACAGGCCGGGTAGATCGACAAGGGTAAGGTGCGGTTGATCGCGTCCAGATAGCTCCAGTCGAAGAATGTCGGAGCTGAACACTTTACCGCCTCCTTCGTTGATACCCATCGCTTCTTTCGCTGCCTCAATCACTGGCTCAAGATCTAACTCTTCCAATGCGGCGGAGTAGTGGAACTCGCGCAGCTTCTCGAGATCACTTTCCGAGCGATCCTTCTCATGTGAACCGGGGACGATACTGATCTTGATCGGTGCTTCCGGGCCGCGTCGAAGAATCAGCTCAGTCGCGAACCTGGTACAGAGGTTATCCTTGCTGGGGAACTTGACGCTGGATACCGCTTCCAGCACAGAGCTCTTGCCGGAAGACTGCTCGCCGCATACGATGATCTCAGGAAGGTTGATGTATCGATTGATGCCATGTGATCGGAGATTGTCGACAAGATCCAACAGATCTCTCGTTTCAGTAGATTGCAGAGACATGTTTGGTCAGCTGTAAGTGCTTCGTTCCACGTTGGATATAGAGCAGTGTAGGAACTAAAAGTTTGCTGTGAGCACAAAGAGCACAAGAACGATGAGAAAGCGCAAATAGTGATTGTAATGCACAACAAAGGCATAAGTAGTCAGCGTGGCGTCTCGAACAAGCCAGAAACACTTGCAACATGCTGAATGTGCCTGTCATTGCCCTGCATGTTTGCGCAACCTACCGGTGGTGGCATGACATCGCTCGAATGATGGCCTACCACGATTTGCTTCTGCGACGCATCTGTCTGTCTTCAACTCAAGATGCAGCGTGGGAGACCACAGGCAAGCATAACGCAGGTGATGAGCCTTCTCGCGATGTAGGGCCTCTGAACATGCAGAGATCATCAGCAATGTTAGGCGGTGAAGAAGGCGATGATGGTCGGTGACGCGACGGCCCGACGCTGATACCGTAGTCTCCTCGGGAACCCGAACGTCTATGCTGCGTAGCATAAAGTAGTCATTCGCTATCAATGGCACAGTTGTTTGCCACAGTGCTTGATGCCGGCGTTGGGATGCGGCACATCTTTGCCGGCTGCAGGGAAGAGCGCCCGCCCGATGTGACATGTAGCCTGGGGACCGCTGGAGGCAGCAGGCTGCGTCGCGTCATCCGCCATTGGATGATGTCCCAGTGCGTCCGTCATCATTGTGCGGGCTGGCGACGTTGGGAGCTGGCGTGGTCACCGTCCTGATGTACTCCAAGGTTATTGTTACTCACCTGGAGCGCGTGTGCGGGATGGCGCCTTCCTGTCGCAAAGCCGCGCTAGTGGCGGCAGCTTTACCCGAACAGTGTTAGCACTCGGTGCCCATGGGCCGCGAACACAGCGTGCATCCTTTCGGTCAACGACATCAGTCTGATTGCTCTCCGTGATGTTGATCTTCTCTTCCGACGTGTCCTTTGGCCCACTACGCGAAACCGCACCTACGAGATTGCTTCGTTTCGCGAGACTGCAGAGACATGCCGTAGTCTTGTTGGTTCTCTTCTGAGTCAAATGTAGGGCAATGCAGGAGGCTACGTTGCCTTAGTATCTTGTGAACTTGAGCTTTTTAGACCAACGTAGGCGGCACGCCTGTTTGGTGTTTTATCTGTACATGTGCAGAATACACGCAATAAGCGTACGGTTGTTGTAAGTTTTGGAAATGCAAAGAACGCGTTAATGGCTTGCAAATGAATGTCTGCATCGGGCGAAGTTTACACGACTTGTCGAAGTAAAGACTGCCTAGAGCATACAGTGTGTACGCCTGATAACATAAAAAGAATGCGCATAGCTACCGCCGGTGGCGCAGCGCTGGTCAAATGACAGCCTACCGCGTCTGGCTCTGGAATGCATCTGTCCGCGTTTCACCCCAGACCGCGGCGCGAAACGTCGCGTTTGAGCGCCTGTCGTTTGCCATCAACATGCAGCGCGCCTGGATCAGCGAAGATCAGTAATATGACAAGTGGAAGAGGCAACAAAATTGAGGGACCTGACTGGTAGGGAATCATCCCGCGGGGTCCATAAGAAGCCCAACGACCGTTTTATTAGCCAGATTTCAGCTATTCGCCATCGATGCAGCAGTTGCTCGTCACTCTGACAGGACCGGGACGCGTCAGTGCATGTTGGCAGTGCCAGGCTGCAGCGATCCCACAGTGTGGCATCGCACGCTGACTTGTTCGCCGACGTAGGCAGTGGCGTCCGGGTACCGCAGGATATCGCAAGTATTAGGTCATCGTCGTGCTTGTGGCGGCCTTGAGAAAACGTCTCTTCTCACGTATGAGGTGGTGAAGTCAAGGTTACGCCCATGGCGCGGGGGTTCCTGTTGGGCGGACGCGTCAAAGCGGCCGCTAGCTAGATCCAGCCTTACCCGAACAGGCCTGCCCGACCCGGCGAACATCGTCCGGATCGCGTAACCCGCGTTTCCGATTGACCACCATCAGCCCGCCCGCTGTCACTCTGCGGCGTCGACTGCCTCTTCCGCGACCTTCCACCCACCGCGAATCAGATCTTTGCGACATGGCTTCATTGATGTGCTAACGGCGTCTCGCCTCGCGCAGCCACCCGCGGCTGACGACGACTCATTCTTCGATCGCAACCTTGGAAAGCTCTGGAATGGAACCCCATGCGTGCCTGCAACCTCTGCTTTGGAGCCCAACGCCGCGCAACGCTTCCTAAGGATCACAAGGGACAATCCGACACGCTTGGACTGACAGCAGTAGCGTGGAAGCGGCGTGCATCAAAGATAGCGGAACAAGCCGCAAGGGTCAGTGAGAGTACTACTCCCATTCGCACGATAGACAATTGTGTTGCATACTGGCGAATATCTCACAAGCCTCGACGCGACGTCAAGGAACAAGTCAATGGCAACCATGACAAGACGGTGCGATGGATCCGAGATGTTTGATGTTGAAGTTCTCAACAGATGCGGCTCAAGCGGCAGCTCCTGGTGAGGCTAGATCAGCCACATGGAACCAACCAAGAACACTTGGAACCACCCTCCCGGAAATTGGCCCAGTTTCCAGCCTTCCGTGGGTTTTCACCGAGCTTCGCGATTACCAAGCGATCGAGTAGCATCACGTCAAAGGATCGTAATTCGAGTCAGGGTCCAGCCGCTGTGGAGACGGATTGTGGATCATCCATGGATTGCTCGCGTGTCGCCCGCCTTACGGAAAATCCTTCACCGACACAGGCCATTCTCTTGTCCCTGCATGCATGGCGCTCGTGTCGAGGTCTTTTCCCAAGTCATGTCAACCCCTATGGAAAAGGACGCGCCGAAGGGTTCACAGTTTACATAGCCGTCTCCCCGCATGGTGAGTCTAGAGTTGGACCGATTTCTAGACCACATTTCCACCGACAACCATGCCGCGAGATGATCGATCCGGAGAGTTCACCGGTGTCTTGGGCTTCTTCATCTGTATCTGCACTCTGCTAGTACTGCTTCGATGCTACTGCAAGCTGGTCCTCGTGAAGAACTTCGCGGCCGATGACTACTTCTCTGTTCTTACCCTGGCGGCCTTCTTGGTCTATTGTAGCTCCGCGCTGCTAGGTGTCCAGAATGGGACCGGGAAGCGACGATATCTCATCCCGGATGAAAAGTATCCCATCGGTATGAAGGTGTGTAATACCACGTCTACAGTATATTCCATGAGGCTAACAACTCGAATCAGTGGTGGTGGACTTGCGAGCCCACATACGTTGTTACGAATATCTTCCTCAAGATGAGCATCGGGATCTTCCTTCTGCGCATTGCCCAGGATAGAACTCATCGCATGATTCTTTGGGTCGCCCTCATCGCCATCCAAGTATACAGCGTGTACTTCTTCTTTGTCTTCACCTTCCAATGCTGGCCTGTCTCGTTCTTCTGGGAACAGTTCCGCGGCGGCAAAGGACATTGCATCCCCTCTAGGTTCGTCGTGAACTCGTTCTACGGCTACTCTGCACTGTCCTGTGTTACAGACTGGACCTTCAGTATTGTTCCTATCTTCATCGTGCACAACTTGCAGATGGACAAAAGGAAGAAGATGACGGTGGTTGTTGTACTCGCCTGCTGCGCTATGTAAGCTCATTCCGCCTCTAGAGTCTCCCTTGCATCGTATGCTAACTCAACACCAGTGGCTCCACCGCAACAGTCGTCCGCATCCCATTCATAAACGGCCTCAACGATATACCCGACTTCCTATACACTACCACCGACGTCGCGATATGGTCTACCGTCGAAACCGGAATCGGCCTTGCGACCTCCGCCGCCGCCACGCTCCGTCCCTTACTCCGCCAGGTGTTTGGTGAAATTTCGACGCATGGTAGCGCCTCTCGCAAGCACTCGCGCCGGTGGAACTCGGGACACCCGTCACGCTCAGGGTACCTGGAACAGGCAAGTCAACAAGGTGGAACCGGTATCCAGCTCAGTAATCACGATTCGAAACACCATACTGTCCATGTCACCAGCGGGAATGCGAGTCCAAGTGGGAGTACGATCGAGTTGAACATGGAGTGGGAGCAGGACAAATATAATGCGTCGGCTGATGCAGCTGCAGCGGGGCACAATGGGATTATGAGGACGGTGAAGATTACGCAGATGTAGAATGAGGGTAACTTGAAATGAAAGCTATGACAACAACCGTTATCGACTGACCAACCCGCCAATGTACTCACCCAATCTCTCTCGCGAAAAGCCTTCAGATTCGAGCGCGGAGCCCAGAGTAAAGCCATTGCGCGAACAAGGGGTTCGCTTGGGCATTGACACATTTCCTTACCCTATTGTCTCCTTTGGATCATGCCGTATACCAAAGTAACACCTGCATGACCCAGCTTGAACGAGGTCCAGACCACAGCCCAAGCGAAAGGCGTACTCTTTGCTTTCTGCCCCGTTGTCGTTTGTGGAGATTGTACACTTCGTGAATTGCTGCTCGCATCGTCAAGCTCACCCCTGTGGCGCAGAGGGCGGGCGCTAGTCGCGGCAGCCTAGCCCAAATGGTACTGATCTTCGGCGGCTCCGCGCGAACATCGTACGGCTCCCACAATCTAGATCTCCTACACCCTCTCGACCAACATCACGACAGCTTCGAAAAGGTCCATGGCTTTCCTATTGCGGCCTTCAGCTCATCGCATTGAGTTCGCTTTCGCGAGAGGGCCCCATTGACCCGCTTGTGGCTTTCGCGTGGTGTAGCTCTACTTTTTCGGTCGAAGCGGCGACCAGCACGACAGCGATGCAATCATGAGCGCCATAAATATCATCGCTATGGCCTTCGACATGAAGCATCGCGCACCCTCTCTTATTATCTCCTCCGTCGGACATTGTCTGGCAGCCCTTCTTTTCGACCGCCTCGTCATTCGTTCAGTCTCGCATCCATCACCATCTCACCAATAATTCTTAATACCTAATTCGGCATCATGCGATCAATTCTCCTTGCACTTCTTGCTGCTCTCCCCATCATCGATGCTGCTGTGAGCAGTCCGCGCATTTCCAAGAGCGGCCGCTGCGGAAGCAGCTTTGGTCTTACGTGCGCCGGTTCCTCTTTTGGTAGCTGCTGCTCGCAATACAACTACTGCGGCAAGACTTCCGCTCATTGTGCCTCCGGCTGCCAGTCGGGCTTTGGGAAGTGTAAAGTCTCGCCCGTTCCGATCTCGGCATCTGCAAAGGTGTCAAAGGATGGGACCTGTGGCGGAAAGAGTGGCTTCACGTGCTTGAAATCTGTATTCGGCAACTGTTGCTCGCAGTAAGTCAATCATGGAAGGCACAGTACCACGTGGACAACTCGCTAATTACATCGTAATTTCAGATACGGATACTGCGGATCATCCAACGCATACTGCGGCTCAGGCTGCAACCCTGCTTTCGGTTCCTGCTCAGGCCCAGCTCCCGCCCCTCCTGCTGCCACGACGCGTTCATCTTCGTCATCAACTCGCACTGCTTCCACCGCTTCATCGCCCGCCACCAAACCTGCGACTCACAAGATCTCTACGAATGCGCGATGCGGAAATGCCTACCAAGCGTCACCTCTCGGGATGACCTGCGCTGGATCTAAGTGGGGTAACTGCTGCAGTAAATACTCATACTGGTACGTTCGGTCATTGCATGCTCCGTCGCATGCTACTGTATACTAATGCGCGACAGTGGGAGTACCGAAGCATACTGCGGTAGCGGCTGTCAGCCAGGCTTCGGCAATTGCAAGCCTGCATCCTCGTCCGTCTCGTCCGCCTCGTCCTCGCCGGCGAAGGCCCCAATTGCACCGTCAAGTGCACCACCGACCACGAGCACACACACAGTCTCTACATCTGCCTTGTCTTCAAGTACCGCGTCGTCTTCCACTATCTCGTCCCAGGCCATGAGCGCATCGCTCGCGGACCCTATCTCATCTTCTTCATCCACAATATCGTCGGTAGAAAGCATGTACCCAGTGCCCTTCACAACAAGCGTAAGCGCATCGGCTACCGCGATTGAGAGCTTTTATTCGCCGGACGCCACTTCAGAGTCAACAGTGGCCCTCGAGATCGTTTCTGCGCCTGGCCAGCCTCTAGCCTCGCCCGCAACGTCAGAGGTCACCACCTCAACGGACGCTATCACCAGCTCCTCAAGCGTCTTGGCTACCCTTGCAGAGTCGCCTACCACTACTGCCGAGCTTTTGAGCACAGCTACAGCCCCGCTCGCTACATCGGAGGTCGCTTCCTCGCAAGCCGAGATTGTCTCTCCCGTCGCATCAATTACCGTGCTCGAGACGTCTGTCGAGCCGACCACCACACCTACACCCACGCCCACGCCCACGGCCACGCCAGCATCCACTGAATCCCGGGTTGTACCGATGGAAATCGAGACCGAGACCATTTCCTCCACCGTTGCCCCCGTGATCAGCGCGTCGCCATCGTCGGAGCTTGTCGCATCCTCCGAAACCACCCCCACACCAACCCAAGAGACCGCAACGAGCTCAGTGGCCGAGACGCCGTCGCCACTCCCGGAGATACTCGCTTCCTCGTCCCCAGCGACTTCGAGCGTCGCGACATTCACCACGTCGGCCCCAGCGACCTGCAACACGCTCGCCGCGAGTTACAATCCATCTTTCGAAAGCGGAGCCATCGCACCCTGGACCAATACCTACGCCACCAATACTTTGTACGGCAAGACCGAGGTTCTTTCCGCTGATGTGGCACCCTTCGCGCCGCTCGACGGATCACATGCGCTTTACACCACGTTGACCAATCGGTACACGCAAGCCCAGAATTGGAGGTTCACGCTCCAAGACGTCTACATTCCAGCTGGCAGCAACTACAACTGCACGGTCGGATTCAAGATAGTCCAAAACGACAATCGCGCAGGATACGTCGTGCAAGTCGCTCTGTTCATCGACAATCAAGTTGTGAACTATGTGCAGAACGGTGTATCGAACGGTGTGTTCGTGGGCATGTCGACAGGTCCAGAGGCGGCTCTTTGGAAGACGATAGGCGGTTCTGGAGTCGCGAACGCGCAAGACCAGCATACGGTTATAGTTCGCGTCCTCTTCAACAATGCTGTTAATCTTGCTGAGGGAACGACTTTCGCGATCGATAACCTGCAGTGCTTCCCGACGGGGCAATGCGCAATGTAGATAGATATAGACACGTAGCGGAACGCAATACAAGATAATTAGATTACCTTTGCACAAACTGCGTGTAATTAATTATCTTAGGCTCGCGTATACTTTTCTTAAGATAGAATATAAAAGAGAAAGAGCTTATAACTCTACTTACAGAGCTATATATACTTAACCTATACTATTAGTATTAGATATATAGACTCTAAATTAAAGTCTACTATAAGTAGTTTATACTACTCTAGTTTTTAGTATTAACTTAAGTTAATATTTATAAAATTCTTTAAATAATATTTAAATTAAAGTTTTAAACTTTAGTTCTATTATAGATATTCTATAACTATAGTATAGACTTTAGAGTTAGGTATTAGAAAAAAATCTAACTATATTAGGTTTATAACTTTTGCTATAAAATTCTATAAAATATAGTCTATATATTTAGATATTTCTATACTAGTTTTAAAGCTCTAGCTAACTCTAAAAGTCTACTTAATAGTATAGACTAACTCTAGAACTAGACTAAATAGTATAAGCTAGCTCTAGAAGCTTATTTAATAGTGTAAGCTAACTTTAGAACTTAGCTAGATAGTATAAGCTAGCTCTATTAGTATTAGATATATAGACTTTAAGTTAAAGTCTACTATAAGTAGTCTATACTACTTTAGTTTTTAGTTCTTAGTTAGATTAAAGTCTATAAGATTTTTTAGATAATATCTAAGTTAAAGTTCTAAAATTTAATTCTATTATAGATATTTTATAACTACTAACTCTTCTAACTTTATATAAAGTAGATATACTTCTATATAAGTAATAATATACTTATATATTTTATATAATTCTAACTATAAAGTAAAATATCTAACTATATTAGAATTCTAACTTCTATACCTAAAGGCTATAAAAACTAGTTAAAGTATTTATTATTATAGTTCTATCTATACTTACCTAATTACGTTATTACGTAACTAGCCTAGCCTAATTAGATTAGACTAGCGCTAGCTCTAGAATATAAAAGTCTCTACACCTTTATATTCTACTTAATAGCTTATATTCTATTATATACCTACCTAATTACATCTTTTATATTTATTCTATACTAGATCTAAAATAGTATAGCGTATAGTAAAAGACTCTACTCTACTAGTAAAAGACTTCTAAATTATAGTATTAGGCTATATAATAATATTATAATAAGCTACTAAAAAGCTTTAAATAATACTATATAGCGTAAAGCTCTAGTAAAAAGCTTTTATATTTTAGTAAAAGATAAATAGAATATACTAAAAGACTATACTAAAAAGCTATATTAAAAGACTATATTAGAAAGCTACTATATTTAAGTAAAAGATATCTAAAGTATAGCTATACTATATAATAAAAAACGTAATAGTAATTAATAACTTAATAGTCTATCTAAAAAGATACTAGTAAAAGGCTTATTATATATAGATTTCTCTTTATATAATATAGTAAATTTCTCTTCTATCTAAGAAGCTAGGTATATAATATTATATATAGTCTATTCTATTTTAGAGATATATAAGATAGCTATTTTATATCTATTATCTCTTATCTTAAATAACTCTAGACTTAGATAGTCTAACCTATCTACTTAAATAAAAGCTTAGAGTTTAAGTTAGATTTATTCTACTCTTATAGTTCTATATACTATAATATATTATTACTAGTAACACTAGTCTTATTAGTATTATCTATTTATATTCTTTAGTTTATAACTCTTATAGTCTATTCTATAGCGCTAGCTTATATAGCGCCTTATTAACTATACTATACTAGTTCTAATAATAGTATCTACGTTATAGTCTATTACTTCTTATTCTCTATATATATAATATTTTTAAGTCTACTCTACGTAGTGTATATTATATATAACGTTATATTATAAAATACTTTTTATTACGTAGTTACTTTCTTTAGTCTCTATCTATACTCTACTTTCTACCTTTATTACTATTACTAGCTACGTCTATACTATCTACACTTCTATAATTATCTAAATTACATATTTTTACTATTTAAAAAAACTATAATCTATTCTCTACTAGCTCTATTAGTAACTCTACTAGATAGTTTTCTAGGTTACTTTTATAGATTATCTTAAGAAATAGCTACTTAGAAGAGAGTTTCTTTTATATATAGCTTATAAGTAATAGTTCTACTACTTTATAAAGACTACTAATATTATTATTATATTAGATAACTATCTTTATCTAGTTTTCTAGTTTTAGAATTAGCTTTTACTTTATAAATAAATTTAGAATAGACGCTTTTAGTAGTAGTATAAAGATACTAGAACTAAACTTTTACTTTAGTATCTACTAACGCTTTCTATATTCTAAGTACTAGTTCTAGTTATAATACTTAGCTATATACTTAACTTATATTAACTTTTTCTCTACGTTACTACTAATCTTATAAAAAAGTTATTCTCTAGTAACTATTACTACGCTTTACCTCTTTATACTTATAAGCTTCTCTTATCTTCTTAGAATATTTTCTAGCTATTTATATTCTAAGTAAAAAGTAGATATTATCTATTAATACTATATATTATCTATAATTTCTATAGTTTTACTATAATATATAGTTACTAGTAGCATATAAAAACTCTATACCTTACTAGTAGATAGTACTCTTTTAGAACGCCTACTCTTTTACTATAAAAGAATAAGCTTACTAGCCTATAAATTAGAAATAATATCTATTTTCTATATTATTTATAGCTTTACTCTATATACTAGAGCTAGTACTATAGTATTTATAGTTATAAATAGTTATCTTCTACTTCTAGCTACCTCTCTTTATATTTCTAACACTACTTTCTATTCTCTTAAACTTTCTACTATTATAACTATCTTTATATAGTTTATTATTTTAGCTACTTTACTTATACTAATCTTCTCTAACTATCTTATAAAGTTATAGTACTTAATCTTATAGTCTAAATATATAATCTTATTCTATTATACTACTACTAAGTCTTATATACTAGTAATAGTTTCTACTAGTGTATAGTCTAACTATTTCTTTAATTATTAATTAATCTACTTTATTATTATTTTCTTTTTTATTTACTTTAATAGCTAATCTAACTCTTTCTTATTAGATAAAGTGTTTTTATTTAACTATAAGTTATTATAGATATAGTTAATAAACTATACTAAGCGCTTTTTTATAACGCGCTAATAGAGCTACTATATAGTATTCTCTAGTATATATATAATAAATAACTATATACTTTCTACTATATCTAGAAGAATATAATAGACTATATTATCTAGTTCTATATATTAGTAGGTCTCTTATACTATCTTACTTATATTTTTATTCTTCTAGAGCGCGTTAGATATAATTTCTAGTTCTTTAGTTACTATTATATAGTTTTTACTATTCTTACCTTAAACTCTAGAAGCTTTAGATAAAAATAAAAATGTAGGCTATTTTTATTTAGCGTAATATAGTAGTAGATCTCTTTAGTCTAAATACTACTTTTATATATTTATTTAGTCTATAGATTTAGAAATATATAAGAATAAAAACTCTTTTTAAGCTTTTCTTCTTTTTCTATTCTATTTTATCTTAATCTACTACTATATTCTTATCTATATCTATCTATTAGTATATCTCTTCTTAACTATATTTTCTAAATTAATATAACTAATAGACTTATTATTTACTTAACGTACTAGTATATTATACTCTCTAAAGCTATTAAAAAGTACCTCTAAAGATATTATTCTAAAAATATTTAATCTAAGAATTATACTATTATATAGTAGAAGTTACTAAATCTTATTTATATATTTAGCTTTAAGAAAAACTATATAGATTTCTTCTTTATAAAGCTAGATAGCTCTTTTCTTAACTCTATTTAGTATCTCTCTATATATCTAGCACTAGCGTATACTATTTATTTTAATTCTACTTATATCTACTCTAAAAAGAGTAGAGACTATAATATAAAGAATTATCTACGCTCTTAATACTAGATAAGCTTTAGTATTAACTTTACTATAGTGTCTAACTTCTAAATAGTTATTTAAAATACTTATACTTAGTATTACTTCTAAAGTGTTCTAAGTAAAGTTAATAGTCTAAATCTATTACACTACTTTAAGATTCTTCTTTCTTTCTTATTATATAAGAATAATATATATTAATCTAGTAGTACTTCTAACTCTAGATTATTTATTACGTCTACTACTTTAGCTTATATTAAACCTTTACTAGATAGAAATAACGCTACTTATTATCTTACTACGTAGTTTATATTTACTAATATATTTATAAAATAGTAGTAAAAGAACTAGCTAGGTACTATACTTTATAGGTCTACTATTAAGACTAGCTTCTAGCTTAGTAGTACTAAGTTTCTTAATATACTTTCTATAAGCTAGAATAAAGAACTTACTACTATTACTATCTTTACTAAAAAAAGTAAGTCTATACTTTTCTTTCTTTATAATTATACTAAGAGTATAGTATATATATAGTAGAATACTACTTTATACATCTTATAGTATACACGTATCTAAGTAATATAAAAAGATATATATTATATTCTACTCTATCTACTTAAAGTCTACTAGAACTTTTTTATATTATATATATTACTACTATAAAAGATCTTTATATTCTTTTTCTATACTTTTATTAATAGCTAGCCTTATTCTTTATAACTTACTATACGCTCTAATTAGTAGAAAGCTTAGAATAGTATTATTACTACGTTACGTAACTACTATAGTATCTACTCTATAGTATATATAAACTATACGCGTACTATACTAAACTCTATAGAAAACTTCTATTATTACTTCTAGCTATTTCTTATTATATAAATATATATTAGTAATAAATTTAAGTCTTCTCTTATTATTATAACTAGCTTTTTTATTCTTTTTAAAAAGAAGTATACTTTACGTAAAGTTTATAACTTTACTATAGATATTATAGCTTTTAAGAAAATAGTCTAACTTATAAGTATCTAATAT